CATCTTTTGTGCATGTTATCAGTTGCATTCCATCCATTTAATTTGTGCATGTTATCAGACGCATTCCATCCCTCTTTTGTGCATCTTATCATACGCATTCCATCCATCTTTTGTGCATCTTATCAGGTGCATTCCATCCATCTGTGTGCATCTTATCAGGTGCATTCCATCCCTCTTTTTTGCATGTTCTCAGCTGCATTCAGTCCCTTTTTGTGCATGTTATCAGCTGCATTCCATCCCTGTTTTGTGAATGTTATTAGGCGCATTCCATCCATCTTTTGTGCTTGTTATCAGGCGCATTCCATCCATCTTCTGTGCATGGTATCAGGTGCAATCCATCCCTCTTTTGTGAATGTTATCAGGTGCATTCCATCCCTCTTTTGTGAATGTTATTAGCTGCATTCCATCCCTGTTTTGTGCATGTTATCAGGCGCATTCCATCCCTGTTTTGTGCTTGATATCAGGCGCATTCCATCAATCTTGTGCACGTTATCAGGCGCATTCCATCCATCTTTTGTCAATATTATCATGTGCATTCCATCCCTGTTTTGTGCATGTTATCAGGTGCATTCAATCCCTGTTTTGTGCATGTTATCAGGCGCATTCCATCTGTCTTGTGAGCATGTTATCAGGCGCATTCCATCCATCCCTTGTGCATGTTATCAGGCGCATTCCATCCCTCTTTAGTTCATGTTATCAGCTGCATTCCAACCATATTTTGTGCATGTTATCAGGTGCATTCCATCCATATTGTGTACTTGTTATCAGGCACATTCCATCCTTCGTTTGTGCATGTTATCAGGCGCATTCCATCGATCTTTGGTGCATGTTATCATGTGCATTCCATCCATGTTTTGTGCATGTTATCAGGTGCATTCCATCCATCTTTTGTGCATCTTATCAGGTGCATTCCTTCGATCTTTGGTGCTTCTTATCAGGTCCATTCCATCCATCTTTTGTGCATGTTATCAGGCGCATTCCATCCATCTTGTGTGCATGTTATCAGGTGCACTCCATCCATCTTTTGTGAATGTTATCAGGCGCATTCCATACATCTTGTGTGCATGTTATCAGGTGCATTCCATCCATCTTGTGTGCATATTATCAGGCGCATTCCATCTATCTTGTGTGCTTGTTATCAGGTGCATTCCATCCCTGTTTTGTGCATGTTATCAGGTGCATTCCATCCATCTTGTGTGAATGTTATCAGGCGCATTCCATCCATCTTTCATGAATGTTATCAGGTGCATTCCATCCCTGTTTTGTGCATGTTATCAGGTGCATTCCATCCCTCTTTTGTGCATGTTATCAGACGCATTCCATCGATCTTTTGTGAATGTTATCAGGTGCATTCCATCCATCTTTTGTGAATGTTATCAGGCGCATTCCATCAATCTTGTGTGCATGTTATCAGGCGCATTCCATCCCTGTTTTGTGAATGTTATCAGGTGCTTCTCATCCCTCTTTTGTGCATCTTATCAGGTGCATTCCATCCTTCTTTTGTGCATGTTATCTGGTGCATTCCATCCCTCTTTTGTGCATGTTATCAGGCGCATTCCACCCCTTTTTGATGCATGTTATCATGTGCATTCCATCCATCTTGTGCATGTTATCAGGCGCATTCCATCCCTCTTTTGTGCATCTTATCAGGTGCAGTAAATACAGACAATAATTTGTGCTGATGTTTTTGTATTAGTTGGTTTTTGGTTTGTCTGCATGTTATGTGAATGTTTTTCAGTTTTGGTGGTGCGTTTTTCATAATATCGTAAGTGTATACATATTCTGCATGTACATGTCTACATTTACTCTTCAGTGTATATACATGCATTTCCTTAAAATATATTCATTATTCAAACAGAATATTTACATACAAAATTAAGGTCAGCTTTGTTATTTCGTCAAAAGTCATAACCTTCACGAATGTGTCGTGTACGCAAAATACTAGTCGGACCATTTGACATACACAGAAACTCGAAAACAAGTACGAAAATACCTTTATTGAAACGCTGTAGCCAAACGACATGAGCCTAAAACGAAAGGTACACCAATGATTGCTACAATGTGCAATAGTGGAGTATCACTGTCCAGTTCATGGACTTACGAATCAGTAACAAAGCTACACCTGGTATAACGAAAAATGATCGCAATCAGCACTTGAACGCACATCTACTGGTGTCACCAGTACTGTCTTCAGATTTCACATATGCCCATCATGTTTCACTTGGGCAATAACACGTATGATTTCGTATGATGATGTGTCTTATGCTAATAAACAATGTACATCAATAAGTGCAATAAAATGGTATAAAATCTGCAAGCTGTATCCATGTCTTGAATAATCGATTGAAGAACGTTATGTATATATTTGTTAGAATTCTGAGTTAAGAACAACTGAAGAACTTGTACATCTGATACGTCAATGTTAGTCTGACTTCTTTATCCTATGATAAGGATTATGGTGATATGTTGAGTAATATCAATTTGTTCGTGGAAGCAACAAAACCATTGATCTTGCATGTGAATTCAGTTTGGTTCGAAAAAATATTGCCTCACATGTAGACAATGGGTCTTTTTACGATATGTAGCATGCGATCATTTTTCCAACCAGCATCAACGTATAAGAAAAAGCACATCAACACTACTAATGCACACATATATACATTCAATAGGCTTATCGAATACATGTAACATCCGAGTATACCAAGCTATCCATGAAATGAATGTACATAAAATGACGAGCAAAGATGAAATGTTAACATATAGAAACTGGGGGATTAATTGATCATAGCCACCAAGGCTGCAGCCAAATGATGTTGTTACAGTTACAGTGAGAGTACTGTGGGACACCTACTTAATAAATACACGCACAAACCACGGCAAGTATGGTATCCATGGTTACCTCAAAGGGTATCCTTCACAGTCACTATAAACATCTTGTTCATCGAAGTGTTGTACATGTGTGTTTGAATATGCATAAAATGACTTGGGGGGGTGGGGCAAATGGGTTCTGAAATTATAGTTTCTTTCCGTATTAGCGAACACCTGGTGTTATCACTGAATTTTAAATGGACTATTCCCATTCTTTTCACAGCCATTTTGCCTTTTTTTCCACATGGAAGCTGGTTAGAGGAGTGTGTTTATTCGTTTGCACTGACGTTTTATATCAGACACATATTCCATTACTGGTCATCTTTGAGTAAAGGTTCAGAAAAGGGTTAAATTAGGCGCCGAAGGTGTTTTGATGTTATCCTTTCTTACTGAATAATAGCGCTTCGTAAAGGAATGTCACGAACATACGACATCCGGAGCTAGAGGGCGCTGAAGTATTCGTTTCTTATTGAACACATCCTCTGTGGTTGTCATCAGAGTGTTTGGAAAAGGAGCCAGAAGAGTATGAAATTAGTTTTTGTAAAAGCCTGGGGTAATGTTGTGCAGCGGTACAATTATAATCTGCTGATGGTCAACAAGGCGAGATACATCTGCTCGTTATACATAATGTTACCCTTACTTGGACATTAGTTTTGTTGATTCGCAGTTTGGACTCAGTTTGGACACTTCTGTATTGATTTTGTGACAGGCATTTGTATTTTGTTTGTTCTCATTATTTCATACTTATGTTTCAAATGAGTGGACATGTGTAGATTATGCAAGTAGTTCCATGGCCTGTGTGAGATGTATGGTATTCTTTGTCGCGTACATCGCATGTGGAAATCAAAACTCCTTTCTATACACAATTCCATACGAGTGGTAAATGCACATGAAATTCAATACGACACCATTATTTCATCGTGTGGTAGTGAAAAATCTAATCTGTGGAATATCTGTTTCAGATTAATAGAAATGGGACAGTGTTTGATACAACATCCATTATTGACAGTGATTTTTGTCCTGTACTGTATCAAGCATTCAATACTTTGTCCACACATGTTATAAAAACACTCAACAAATCATATGTGCTGACACACAAATAGAAGTCAATATAATTGTTTGGCTGGAACAAAAACAGAAACTGTCAGCAGTAGATTTTAACAATACTTCATCCAACTTATCGACAAAGCCTCAGGAAATAGAACACGATGACGGCATTCAATAGTGGTTAATTTACAGACTTGAATTTGATCGTAAGAAATATATTATAAAACGAATATGTTTACATACTGCCTTTCTTCTTCGTGTATCAATATTGATATCAAGACCATGGGTGAAGTCAACTGTAAAAAAAACAATTTATGCCATATGTGTACATAATACAAAGTTGGAAAACAATAGCAGATATCAATATCGTGGTAATTATAATAATTGTCTGTTGATTAATGTTTTGTTTACCCGTGAAGATCCGAGTGAGAATTGATCTTCAATAAACCTTGCTTGTCGTAAGAGGCGACTAACGGGATCGGGTGGTCAGTCTCGCTGACTTGGTGACACATGTCATCGTATCTTAATTGCGCAGATCGATGTTCATGCTGTTGATCACTGGATTGTCTGGTCCAGACTCCATTATTTACAGACCACCGCCATATAGCTTGAATATTTCTGAGTGCGGCGTTAAACAACAACCAAACCAAACCAATGTTTTGTTTACTTTTAAACCAACTGGGAAAGTTGTTTGTTACATATGAACGAAAACAACCACGTATCCTGCCATATGAAAGCAGGACGACACCTCAAGTTACTGGGTGAATGAGTGAGTGAGCTGGGTTTAATGCCGCGTCGAACAGTACCCCAGTTATATCACGGTATGTCAGTTTCCTATGGGAAATAAGCCCGAATGATACAGGTGTTACACGTTTACCACTTCAGTGAAGACATGAGCACGAGCATGGTGCTGACATATCGATGCGAGACGGGAATCAAACCCGCAGTTTAAAGATTCTGACGTTCTCAAGGGAAGCAACTCTGCACAGCGGATGATTGGGCCAGTCGCGACCTTGTGGGGACTAAGACATCATAAGTCAAGGTTTAACATAGTATACTCAACAACAAAAGATTCTGTAAACGTATTGCTGATAAAATACTTTAATTGGTCAAAAAGAAGGTAAAAGGTTCTGCCACCACTGTCGGCCTTGTAACTGATATACCTCCTCCAGCTTTTGTAAAGAACACTCAAATTTCTAATTTAAAATACAAAAGAAATAACCGCAGTAAATGTCGCAGATCCTTTTTTGATTCGAAATAAACACAATAACCCTTGCGTCCTCCAAAGATACTTTTGTTGTTGAGTATATAAATACTGACACTACATTTTTAGCGTGTAATACATTTTTGTTTAATGATGTCTCTGATGATTGTATGGAGAGCGTTCAAGTGAATGGTTGATGAAAAATGTGCATCGATAAAAATCATGTCATCAGGCAGAATTGTGGTCATTGACACATATAACATAACAGCAAGTTCATCTCAAACAACAAGTCAAGAAAACATACACGGGCCTCATCATCGTTCTGAGTAACACACGATTCATTTGGTGTTGATACACATAAGTCAACAGACACATTGTAATTATGAATGTGTATGCCCTCTAAGATGAGTCCCGGGTTCTCAAAGTCAACACTTCTATAGATATAGAGTCTACACAAATATTGGACTTCCGTCACGACGTCCAATTGGCATTGCACATGTCAAGATGGATCTTCTTTACCTATACCACTAGACGATACCACACAGCCAACATTCATTTCAACACCTGTAAATCAGTCATTTGTAGTTCTATCAATAGAGTAAGCAGTTTCTTCGTATAGATATGGTATTGTCTTCCTGCCAGAAGCGCTGCTTTGAAAGGCTGATATATGTCAAACATTTATTTCATACTAACAGGAAACTAAATATTCCTTAAGATATAATTCTGCCCCTTTTCACCAGATGTGCTATATACAGAAGAAGTATGTTTCTGTCAATCATTCGAAGATCCCTAGATATCATGTGTCACGTGCTCACCGCAGATGGATGTATAAACTTGGATTAGGGCCGATGATGTATAATACAAATGCTAATTACCATCCATTGTCTGCGGTAGAAGCAAAGAATACGTTTGTAGGCAGGACAGAAGTGAAGCTACTGTAAGACTTTCACGAAATACACACATATCATGATCTCGTCAAGTGGTATAGAGTTAATATCAAGGGTCCGCTAAGGGCTTCCAAAATGACTGACAACGTTGTAGAACAGCTGGACTGGCCAAGGACAAGAGCCTTTTCCTCGTTACCTGAAACATACAACAAAGAATAAGTGAGTATGGTTTATGGCAATATTCCAGCAATATCACGGCGAGGGACACCAGAAATGGGCTTCACACATTGTACCCATGTGGGGAACGAGCGAACGCTTTAACCACTAGGCTATTCCACCGCCCCTACACAACAAAGAGTCTAGTCGATCCTAAATATGGTCCTATATAAATCATAGTTTGTAGATTACATACACACGCACGCAAGCAAGCACACACACACACACACACGAACACACACACACACATGTGTGTTAATCCTTACATCTTCGATGGAACCGAAATCGTCCAGATAAAGAGTATTTAACTTAAGATCACGTTTAAACTTAAGAAATAGCGTGGCATTCTCGTCTATTCAAGCGAAGGCGTTACCTCTTCCTTTGTCTGGTTCCACCATCGGTGGGAATAATGGATACATGGCCGTTGATGTGGTTGTTTTCCTGTGGTGTTCCCCGTAGAAACTCGACTCGTCGTAACCATGATCTGGTACAACGGCGTAAGGTGGTTCACGCGTTGTGGTCGTCGTCGGTCTTGTTATTATCACTGGCTCTAATTCTGAAAAGAAATGGCAGGTTATACAATTCTAGATAAACGTATGTTTGTATTCAATAAGACTATAAGTGGCGCAAGACAACTACTGTTGATTCAAGGAAGCACATTGCGAAAACCTCAGTGTTGAGTAAGTGAGCGAGCTGATTTGAGTGGCGTTTCAAGACACATAATCAGTGCGAACCGGGAATTCGATTCATAAAACATGACAGTCCACCCAGCTGTGAGTAGATCGATGCTCATGTTGTTGATCACTGATTTGTCTTGTCCAGACTCGATTATTTACAGACCGCCGCCATATAGGTGGAATATTGCTGAGTGCGGCGTAAAACTAAAATCACTCACTCACTCAGAGACCATCGGTTCAAGAAACACGACAGCACACCCAGGTGTAAAGATCATCAATTCATGAAACAAAGCAGTACACAAAATTTGTAGAGGCCATGGATTTATGAAATATGGACGATACATGTATCTGTGAGACCCACGAAACACCACCATTTTCTTTGTGCCAAACACTTTCTTGCCGTTTTCAGGAAATAGAAGCATGTTTATGATCGCTTTAAGATTTATTCACACGATATCATGACACTGCCAGTCCATGATGCAACTAAAATACACATAAAGTGATAATAAACTCACAATCACTGTCACAAATGAAAGTTGTTACTTATGCCTGACATCTCTGATAACGTATTATCTTTACTTGCCATCATACACTGTGTTATCCGACATCGATACGGTATCATGTTATGTGAATTTTAGGACGGCTTGTTGCATTAAAGGTCTGTTTACGCACACGTCGATAAAGATATTCAACATTTACCTCCCTTTCATTACTACGTCATCCATACTCACCATACAAAACCATTTCTTCTTCATCAGATCCGAGATAGTTACTTCCTTCGCAAGTATAGGACCCAAAATCTTCTTTTTCGATTTCTTTGATTCTCAAACTTAATGTCACAATCCTGTTTTCAAGATCCGCATAGGCTTCTGTATTGAATTTTTCATCATTGCTTATTTCTAAACCATTCCGCTTCCAGAAGGTTAGACCCTGGGGATGAGCATATATTGAACACTGCAGAATAGTCTCCCGTCCAAGTTTTTGACCCATTCGCTTATTCGGCATCGTTACTTCCGGTGCAACTGAAATAAACACCGGTAATCAATGAGTGATCATATTTCTTCTCCAGCCGGGTTGTTCCCCCATCGATCATTGTAATGGATGACTTTGTTGAAATAATTTGCAGCGAACTTGACCAGGGTCATTTATCGATCTGCGACCAATAGTCAAGTGTGTTTAGTCATCGCCTTCTTTTATTTAGTCATGGCCCTACATTTATAGGAGTTCCACTGTAAAACTAAATATATATCCTTTCAGGACATTAATTAAAATGATGATGTGATATATGATTCTGCACTGAAACCTTAACAATTCCCTTAACACGAAACATTTTGTCTGGTTCCACCATCGGTGGGAATAATGGATACATGGCCGTTGATGTGGTTGTTTTCCTGTGGTGTTCCCCGTAGAAACTCGACTCGTCGTAACCATGATCTGGTACAACGGCGTAAGGTGGTTCACGCGTTGTGGTCGTCGTCGGTCTTGTTATTATCACTGGCTCTAATTCTGAAAAGAAATGGCAGGTTATACAATTCTAGATAAACGTATGTTTGTATTCAATAAGACTATTAGTGGCGCAAGACAACTACTGTTGATTCAAGGGAAGCACATTGCGAAAACCTCAGTGTTGAGTAAGTGAGCGAGCTGATTTGAGTGGCGTTTCAAGACACATAATCAGTGCGAACCGGGAATTCGATTCATAAAACATGACAGTCCACCCAGCTGTGAGTAGATCGATGCTCATGTTGTTGATCACTGATTTGTCTTGTCCAGACTCGATTATTTACAGACCGCCGCCATATAGGTGGAATATTGCTGAGTGCGGCGTAAAACTAAAATCACTCACTCACTCAGAGACCATCGGTTCAAGAAACACGACAGCACACCCAGGTGTAAAGATCATCAATTCATGAAACAAAGCAGTACACAAAATTTGTAGAGGCCATGGATTTATGAAATATGGACGATACATGTATCTGTGAGACCCACGAAACACCACCATTTTTTCTTTGTGCCAAACACTTTCTTGCCGTTTTCAGGAAATAGAAGCATGTTTATGATCGCTTTAAGATTTATTCACACGATATCATGACACTGCCAGTCCATGATGCAACTAAAATACACATAAAGTGATAATAAACTCACAATCACTGTCACAAATGAAAGTTGTTACTTATGCCTGACATCTCTGATAACGTATTATCTTTACTTGCCATCATACACTGTGTTATCCGACATCGATACGGTATCATGTTATGTGAATTTTAGGACGGCTTGTTGCATTAAAGGTCTGTTTACGCACACGTCGATAAAGATATTCAACATTTACCTCCCTTTCATTACTACGTCATCCATACTCACCATACAAAACCATTTCTTCTTCATCAGATCCGAGATAGTTACTTCCTTCGCAAGTATAGGACCCAAAATCTTCTTTTTCGATTTCTTTGATTCTCAAACTTAATGTCACAATCCTGTTTTCAAGATCCGCATAGGCTTCTGTATTGAATTTTTCATCATTGCTTATTTCTAAACCATTCCGCTTCCAGAAGGTTAGACCCTGGGGATGAGCATATATTGAACACTGCAGAATAGTCTCCCGTCCAAGTTTTTGACCCATTCGCTTATTCGGCATCGTTACTTCCGGTGCAACTGAAATAAACACCGGTAATCAATGAGTGATCATATTTCTTCTCCAGCCGGGTTGTTCCCCTCATCGATCATTGTAATGGATGACTTTGTTGAAATAATTTGCAGCGAACTTGACCAGGGGTCATTTATCGATCTGCGACCAATAGTCAAGTGTGTTTAGTCATCGCCTTCTTTTATTTAGTCATGGCCCTACATTTATAGGAGTTCCACTGTAAAACTAAATATATATCCTTTCAGGACATTAATTAAAATGATGATGTGATATATGATTCTACACTGAAACCTTAACAATTCCCTTAACACGAAACATCGTTCAGGACTAAGTTACTTGTGACGATCGTACCCACATGATCCATAGCGGCATTGCAGCCTCATATTGTATGAAACTAAGAACAACTCGAAAGGTTGTAAGTGATCGGCTGGTCTTCCTGTTAACGAGGTTACGGTGTACACAGATAAGGAAAGGCATAAAAAACTTCTGTAAAGTGAAGCTTTTGTCTGGTTCCACAATGTAGCTGTACTTCCACAAAAATCAGGTTGTGTTTGGGAATGCTGTCTGGCGCGACCACGAGCATTCCATTGTCTTACTTTCTTCGCGGGAGCCTTTATGTAAAACAGTGCCATTATCTGAGCGTTTCTATCAGTAAATGATCTTTTCTCGGTGAGATGGCTGCTTTTCAGAATGACGACCTTACACAACACTATCCAGGAGTGGGAGAGAATATATTCACGTAACGTATAAAATCAAGTATTTTGGCGTTGAATTTATACCATTCGGTAAAATACACTCATATCTACTTTGTCCAAAAGTCATTAAGTCTATGCCAAATTGGACAAATTATATTTTGAACTGGTGAAGATCATTAGTCAGAACCATATACATTATACTTATAAGAATTGAAAAATATGTGCTTTGACTACTGGATCATTAAACCAGTTTCGTGACAGAAAATTATGTTCTTTCACAACAGGTATGGATCATTAAACCAGTTTCGTGACAGAAAAATATGTTCCTTAACTACGGGATAATTAAACCAGCTTCATGACAGAAAAATATAATCTTTTGCTACTGGATCATTAAAACAGTTTCATGACCAAAAATATGTTCCTTCACTACAAGATCATTAAACCAGTTTCGTGACAGAAAATTTGTTCCATCACGACGGGATCATTAAACCAGTTTCATAGCAGAAAAATATAATCTTTTGCTACTGGATCATTAAACCAGTCTCGTGACAGAAAAGTATTTTCCTCTCGCTACTGAATCATTAAACAGTTTTGTGAAGGAAAAATGTGTGCACTACTTTGACTACTGGATCATTATGTCAGTGTGTGAAGGAGTTTCACACAGATAGAAATAGGCAAATTAATCGTTTACTAATCCATACTTCTCATTTTATGAATTTCAAACGTAATATTAGATAAATGTTCTTCTTGAACTAAAAACACAAGAAGTTAATGGAATCGTTCACTGTTGTGCGGAATCCAAAATAGCTTGACTGGTCCCGTTGGTACCAATCTCATTCTTTCTGAATATAGAAGAAAGTATGCTAGCTCGTTAATTATATAGAAAGATAATAAGCCTTCTGAGAGGGTGTTTATCTGTCCCCAACCAGACCAATAGCTATTAGTGGCAAATGAGCGAAACGTGCAATAATAGCGGTTTGAAGTTCAAGGAGACGTGGCCATTCTGTGGAGAACATTCATTAATCGGGCAATTCAATCACAAGTATTAAATACAAAGTCAAGAGACACAATCTGCCTTAAGTACTAAACCTACTCAATCAGTGTCGCAATGGTGGGCTACATACGATCCAACTAACGTTCGTTTGAAAAACTAAAATCGTTTGAACGTTGCAATTAAATTCACCCGATCGAACGATTGTTTGAAGAAAAAGCATGAAGTCATATTTAGATAAGAACTCGCGGAATCAATCACTTTCTAGTTTGATGATTCCATGGGAGAAATTATCAATCATCAGCGACGTTAACTAAGATTATAATGAGATTGTTTGAGAGTGGATTTCAGCCAATCGACCTTAAGATACGGAATCCGCATCGACATGAACTGTGACCACAACAGAATTATTTCTTTTTATCTTAATAAACTTCGATTACAGTTATTATCAGCTTGAATCGTCAGTATTAATTTGTCGCTTCAGAATCGGAGAAATAAAAGTCATATCTTTTGTGTTTTACTACCTCATGGGATTGTTTTCAAGAGTGCGCAAAACTTAGAATAGCCGAAATCGTATTAAACATTTCCCACAACAAATCAGTTATGTCGAGGGACGCAATCCAATTTATTTCCCTATTTCCCGTTGTTTTACACCACTTATTTCCTATAGTGAGTGCAACGAGCAACGGTAGAATTTTCAGTTTTTAATGAGCCGTTCAATCCAGCAATTTTTCCATACGAGAAAATTACCAGAGACATTTATCGACTGACGAGAACAATTTTCTCCATTTGTAATCTGACAATAATCATATCATTCCTTTATATAATCCTGTATAACAAATCTATGTGTATACTTTCTTACAAAACATGAAACCTTATTAGAAAAACACAATTTTAGATTGTTCTGTTAAAGATATAGCACATGAGATATCTCAGTATCATGTACTTATTCGTTATAAATGTTATGTTATCAAAACATATATTGTAATCTGAACGCTGCGCAATCTGTAAGGCGAATCTGCACAAATGGCTCATAAACAATGCAACTTTCTGTTTGCATCCATTGTAGGTTCAAGTGTATACTCATGAATAACGAGTGACATTAGATGACCTTTTATGTCGCTCTAGTGAGTGGGTGAGTGAGTGGTTTTACGCCGCCTTTAGCAATATTCCAGCAACATCACGGCGGGGGATACCAGTGATGGGCTTTACACATTGTACCCATGTGTGGAATCGAACCCGGGTTTCCGGCGTGACGAACGAACGCTTTAACCACTTGGCTTCCTCACCGCCCCTTATGTCGCTCTAGATTTCTTTTTCTGCACGATACCTAGTGTAAAGTTGAACATACCATGTATATATACAATCTGAATACAATCTGTATAACTGTTATATGAGTGAGGAAAGTTTACTATCGTAACACTTTGTGTGGTTTAAGTAAAAATATATAATCTGAAATTTAATGCATGTGATGTTAATCTCATTCACATCATGGACATCAAATTCATTTATTATGAAAATCTGCTTATTCATTTTCTTGTTTCTTTGTCCTCAATATTAATTTCGAGAAACCCGCACTAGGATCCTTTGAAGACAAGTTACTATTTGAGTCCGTTATGACTGAAAGACATTCATTCATCTGAACACAGGGGCGGCAGGGTAGCCTAGTGGTTAAAGCGTTCGATCGTCCCGCAGAAGGCCCGGGTTCGATTCCCCACATGGGTACAATGTGTGAAGCCCATATCTGGTGTCCACCGCCATGATATTGCTGGAATATTGCTAAAAGCGGCGTAAAACCAAACTCACTCACTCATCTGTAGACATTTCTTGGGAGCATACTTTTGCATGGTTTTTAATACGTTTTTGGCTGCCAATTTGTCCCGGTAGGTTCTTGTGATACTTCTGCTGATGTGTTATTTACAACAAATTTACAACAAAAATAATCGATGGACAGACTTAGATGCAGATAGGTTTCATCGTAGATTCAACATACATTCAACGATGACTCTGATGGCTTTGCTCACAGAAGGAGGAACGCCGTTGTCCACGAAACACTCGTAGATGTCGTCGCAGTACCGTGTAACGTTGTGGATGAGTAGCATCTCCCCTTCCAAACCAATTCCTGTTACAAAAATAACCAGTATTAACATCATCATCACCATGCACGACAGTGATTTGAAACTAACCGTTTCATTGGCAAAATAGAATTTGGTAATATGAAAATATGTGAATATGAAACACATTTTTCTGAGAAAACAATCCTGTTTATTGCAGTCAGCGACGTTTCGATGTAGATTATTACATTGTTATCGACCTTAAGTTTGTTTGTTTGTTGTTTAACGCCGCACTCAGCAATATTCCAGTTACATGACGGCCGTATGTAGATAATCGAGTCTAGAGCAGACAATCCAGTGATCAACAGCATGAGCATCGTTATACGCAATTGGGGTACAATGACATGCATCAGCCAAGTCAGCGAGCCTGACCACCCGATCCCGTTAGTCGCCTTTTACAACAAGCATTGGTTGATGAAGATCAAATCTTCACGGGTCCCGTTATCGACCTGGAGAGACAAGAGGAGACCTGGAGAAGCATGCATACATTGTACATGATATGCTGTGATGCTTACTCGGCAACAAGAACAGGTGATAAGTCGCAAACAGATGACTGGATGAAACCCTCTGACGATAAACAAGAATTTGTTATCCGTAAAGTTGTATGTTTCATACAATCTACAACCGTAACCGGAATGTAAAAAAGAAATACAATAGTCATGCATAAAGCGTACTTATATCAACCAGGCTGAACGCAAACGCAGTGTTAATAAGTTTAAAGTGATAAAATATTCGGAATCTATTCAGTGAATTGTCATCGCGTTTCTGCATACATGACAGCATAAGTGAGCCATATTTCTCTCTCGCTGAGACTTGTTTCGGTGTTCGATCCACGAGGTTCATCTACGAAACATAAAAGAGTAACGATATTTAATCTGAGGTTTCTCCGCCACATTTCCCTCTCTAACTGTTTCTCCTGGTTCCAAATTCTTTACTGTTTGTTCCGGATTCGCCGATGATCCCTTGAGCCCTAAAAACATGCACGCGTGTCAAATCAACAGAAATGTTCTTAACGTAATTTCATTTATTTTAATACAATTAATGCCACCGATGCCAAGCCAACATGAAAACGTTAAAAAGAAGTCGAAATAAAGCAAATAGGATTTTATAAAGTGCTGACAAAGTTGGTTGTAAAAATCGCATTTCCGTGTTGCACCAATTGACATTAAACAGTAAATATGAATGTATCAGTCTCACAAGCATGGCAATGATTTGTCATTGATGCGTATTGTTTGTGCAAGGACATTTAATTCCAGCTTGCTGCGAAAGGGGTTTGTCCCACACAGCAATATGTTCTGAAAGGGACTAGCGAATGTCGTTACCAATGAATTAAACTTGGTTCGTTTGATACAAAACTATTCAGTCGAGATTCCGAAGTACTCCGACAACAATTACTTTGTAATCTTACCAGAATATTGCTCTTAATTCTATGCGGGATTGAAAAGTTCAACTAAATTAAAATTGCCAAATGGGTTCTCTACTGTGAAATTATACATCTTCGCTACGGTCAGCGAAACCAGATCAAATTCCCAACTTTTTTAAGGCGAAAAAGAACCGTAAGAATAAAGATCGATTCAAGGAAATTTGGTAAGGAAGTTCGCAAGAGCTTTCCTTTCCCCCACTTCGTCAAACAATCCCATTTGATGGGATGAAATTGATTTGGTTGCGGTCTTCAGTGAAGGGATGCTGAGGTTGAGGATGGGGAAATGAAGATGTTCTGGAAAGTGTCTGCGGTTCTAACATGGCATGGACTCACTCAATCGCCACTCCTTCCTCGCTGGATCTATCTTGCATCTCCGTCAAAATCTCTCTCTCATCTTCTCATGTATTGTCAAAGATAGCATATCTTGGGACCAATGTTCACATATTTACTGAATCCACTGCTTGTGTCTATTTTACCTTTTTGTGCAAGGGTTGGATCATATCCTCGCATCTTTGTGCAAATGTGTATAAATAAGAAATTACATTTAGTACACGCCATTCATATCAATGCCTTTTTATTACATGTATTACACACGAAGGCACCAGCCACATAATCAGTATCGAACATCTGAACAGTTCCAATAAAAGACCAAACAGTAAAGAAAGATGTATAAATGGATCACCGAATATTAGTAATGACACCAGGTGTTCGCGAAAAGGTAAGTATATTATTAAGCATGTCATGCCTTTCCAATAGCACCCACCATTGAAACAAAGTGAAATTTCATGACATACGAAAACGGATTGAAAGCGAAATGCTTTTAACCATGATGTTTTCTACATCAGATGTCACTTCATGATGTCCTCAATATTGTTTACTAATTCCGCATTGCACATATTGCATCTGGTATTATACATAATAAATGTTATTTTCTGTTCAGATCTACTGGCATTGTCACTCACTACAGTTATTCCCCAAAAGCTAATACGAAATCGTATTGTTTTGGGGGATAAAAAGTCAATTAAGTACATTTGGTATATCAGCTGAAAACATAAAATGAAACATAACGTGGATATTGTCTCGAATATACCAGATGTTTCTTTCTTTTATGATCCCGAATTATTCATTGGTATTATTTACACTTTACTTCTCTACTATTATAAATTTAACACGATATACATAAAGGATATATGTCCATCTGTACATGTATATCAATCTGAACATAACATCAATGTATAAATGCTTTTAAGGGTATTTTCCGAATGACCTAGATTTTACGCCAACGGTTTTTATTCACAATCAGTACAATGACTAATGAAATAAATATCTATGGCATAAACATCTAAAATCATACGTTGACACGTATCGTTTTCAGCGAAATTAGTGAGACTTACTTTCTTTTCTGCCTCTGCCCATTCTGTAGTTCCGTTTGTTCCACGTGACATTTGGCTGCGGGACTCCTGTCACGTTACAAATGAGTTCCGCTACCTCGCCTTCGCGCAACCGGATATTGTCAGATGACAGGCGGCTTATGATAGCAGGTGGCACTGTTCAAAGATACATTGACAAGTCAGTTGGTTTTGAAATGCAATGTTTTTTCTACGAGTATTAATACATGCATTGATTTATATATACTGATATTACAAGTATAATACAAATAACTGAATATAGCATTTGGTCTTAAAGTATGTCGCTACATAAACTCTTTGGAGCTTGAACGGATATGAACTTACGATGCTTGTGTCAAATACTCGATACTTTGGTCACCAGAAATGTGATTTACACATTGTACAACTGGTGATCAGATCTTCTTGACAGTATAGTGCACTCACGCCAGAAAGCATAGTCAAAACTCACTGTGTGTAAGCCCAACCCTGGCACAAACGTTTCGTACATTTTCATGTGTTGTCTCCTTTCAGTGAGTAAGTGCAGTTAGTGAGTGAGTGAGTGCAGTTAGCGAGTAAGTTTTAGTTTTTCGCCGCCGTTAGCAATATTCCAGTAATATCACGACGGGGGACACCAGTAAAAATGGGCTCAACACAATGTACCCATGTGGGGAATCGAACCCGGGTCTTCAGAGTGACGAGCGAACGCTTTAACCACTGGGCTACCCCGCCGCCCTGTCAGTTAGTGTAATGCTGCAGTCTCATCACGACGCGTCAGCTCAATGTGGAAATGACAGGTGAAAATTGGATACTGACGTACACATTTAACTGTATTTGTGAAACCCCAGTGTTAGGTACGTTTCTGACATACCAAGGAGAAACCTGGGATTCGATCTAAAGATAATCCATCCAGTCACTACAAGGATGTTCCTCAACACACTGAACTGCAGCGTCTTCGACACCATGGTCACCATTACCCTTTCACCCTTCCCTGTCTGGGGATGTCATCAACGCCATGAAACCCTTTGACAGAGCGACTCTCCTTCTTCCTACTACTTGAGAGTCTTTCATGTTAGTTCTGACAGAATCTACACCAGAATGCAACCATTAGCTGAACGAGGGATGCACTATTCTGGTCAGCTGATGTATCGATCACCTATGTTGACCTATGTGGTCTATAGAAAACGAAATGGCAACCACTGTGAAGCCTTTAGATAATTCACTTCCTCTTGCAATATACTTCTAACACAAAGAGTTACCGCTAACACGAGGTATCATGTAAAGGTTAACGTGTCCTAAAGCTGGCTCCATATTCACTTCATCAACATTCATTTAGAGGAAGTTGTTTGATTTAGGTGTTGCTGAACATCGCAAGGTTATGCATCGGTTAATGGTAATATGACAGGACGATCATTACTTTGGTACAATATGACGATTTAGCTCAAGTTCAAAACTTTTCGGTCGTATCAGGATGGATAAATCAACACAAAAGCGCCCATCATTAGGTGTTCTTTTTAAATTTTCCCATATTTTTCCTCAATCCATCGTAGTATAGAACGTTTAGTTTGTGAAATATATATGATTTTATTATTTACAAAGCTATTTTTAACTCAAAGTGGACCGTAGTTAAAAGTAGTTCTCTGTTCGTAGTGTTTACACATCTATAGTCCGTTTGATTTCATTTGAGACCGATGAATTGCTCACCAACACAAAATCTAATAATTGCAACAAAACCAAATTTTGCACAGTCACATAAAAACGACACGACAGACCAATTATGAGGATTTGTCCCATAATTTGGGGCACCAGAATAAAAAAGTTGTTTAAGAAACGGTCATTATTATGATGTCACTTTTCGCTATTTCTTACGAGAGAGGACCACTTGCTGGTAAAACAGGTAGGTAATCAACAAGCTTGTGGAGTAAAATATCAATTTCACACGTGCAACGCGCACACCTGGCTGTTTTATCAGCAAGTGGCCCCCCTCGTACAACCAACCAGCCAATCAACCAAGCAGTCAACAAACAACCCGACCAGCCAAACAGCTAGTCAACCAACCAACCAACCATCCATCCATCCATCCATCCATTCATCCATCTATCTATCTATCCAACTCACCAAGGACAGACAGTTTTACTGACTTCTCCTGCTCAGGGACGGTGTTGATCTGACACTTGTAGATACCGCTGTCGTTGTAGAAGACATCGTTGATATGCAGGTTCCACTCCTTCACATACGGCCTCTCGATCGTGATTCGCTGGTCATCTATCATACGTCTGTCCGCGTGGCTGATCAGCTGTTTTCGTGGACTGACCCAAATTACCTGTAAACGTGTTGACCATTACATTGTACATTGTACCCAGAACTAACGGGTTTGTCCTGTCGAGTCATCTTGTCAGAATATGTTTCCTGATGTCAAGGCAGAAAAATGTGATACCCGTGCCATATATGACTGTATGGGTTTCGGGGTTTTTTTCACTGTTATTTGTGTCTGTATAGTCATGTCTCTATTAATTCAATAGAAAGTGACATTTGATGACACCGGCGAAGGTAATCGCTACTGTCTCGTCTATAAAGTCAAGGTAATGTTGTAAAATAGATTTCTTGCGTGACAAACGATACTTACAGGTTTTTTGTTCTGCAACATATTCTCATGGATTCGATGTCACCACGCACTTCTATATGGGCCTTTATACTTCTAACAAAAGTATTTTCTCTATATATCTATCAAAGGGTTTCAAATAGAAGCGACAAAGCTTTTTTCAGAAGAAACATCAAACCACAGATCCAGAGCATGTGTTTATGAATCACCATCAAGTACTGATTGTATCGGGGGTTAACGTAAGGGGAGCATATTGTTCTTCGTCCGTCAGAAATGCATGTACAGGCAAGTCAAGTGTTCACTCAACCAAACATGGGAACATATGGAACAAGTCAAAATGTTGAATCGCATGGAGGATCGTTTTGGTCATTGATACATGAAATGTCCTCCAAATGTTTACAATAAAAAAGTAACACTTTACTGAGGTCTTGTATTTTCTTCCGGAATAGAATACCTTTTGAGCACGAGGCAGATAAAGCTAAAATACACCGGATCCTCAAATTTTGATATGTGAAGACCAAAGGCTGAATCTTCTAAAATATTGTTTGACATATACGGACACGAATTCTTGTCATACAGTCATACAAGAAACAAACTCTTGTCATACATAGTGTGTATAATTGTTCTAACTCCATTTGTATTCATAATCCAACGATAAATGAGATGGCCTTTTTATATTTCTAATTCATGTGGGTAAATCAGTGGAACTGAATCGGCTTTTGACAATTAATGAAGGATATCAGATGATTGAATAAATCATGAGTTTGAATAAATCTTCCTGGCCTAAATCCGTGTTTTGATTTTACCAATTCGAGCAAAAATTCCCATTCATATGAATAAGGAAACACATCAACAAGCATGGGTGCCATAATTTGTGCCATTAGGATTCCTTCTTGTTGCTTAAATGTCCTATACCCAAATTTCACACAAATTTAAATGCTCACAATAATACCTCATAAAGTATTTCGAATTTTATTTTACATTGATTAGAAATTCAGAAGGAAATAAACGAAACGTTAACTTTAATCGTTTTCTATGACAAGGTTCGACCGATTAACATGGGTTCCCCTTACCGTATTTTCTCCTATATACTCCACCGTGCATGGTAGGACAGCCTTCTCTCCCGCCTTCACTGTCACATGTTCTGGCGTTGTGTTGAATTTTGGCGCTAAATCAGCCAATGCTGAAACAAAATAAAACGGAACATTTTACTCATGGATAAATTCCAATCAGTGCTTTATATTCAAATCATATAACGTAATAAGTTATTTTTCAATAAAAGTATATTTATTTCAAAAACCAAGGCATTTTACACTGTGAAACGACACGATGGTGATACATACAAGTCTTATGTAATTTTGCAAATGGGATTTACAGATGAGTAGATTTTTCTTTCAAACTACCTTGTCATCAGCAATGATCTACAACTGTGCGTTAACACTGGTGATATCAGCCTAACAATATACCCCAACAGCTTTGACTCCATAACCCACGCCATCAGACAAGAACAAATCCGCAATACCCATAGACGATTCTCAAAGCGCGGCTGGCGCCCATGGTATTCAAAGCCACAGAAACCCCCGTTGCAGTCATAATAACCTATAAATGGTACTTAAAAGCAAGCGCTACAATATATGACGTCCTGCTCGTTGAGGTGCGTCGCCTCTAGCCAGAAATATGTTCCTAAATAGATTAGTAGTTTGGGGACCTCGGCACATGCCACCTTGACACAGAAGCAGGCAACGAAACCTGATGTGTAATCAGCAAAGGTCACGCCGATTCCCCAGGGTGATGCTGAAATGACGGGCTCTGTGCCATAGAAACTGTTAATATGTTCCGACTGAGGGCGGGGGAAGATGGCGTTAAGTAAGTAAACACGTAGGTGGCGAACGTTCTGGCTGAATCAAATTTAAACCAGTCGGGTGATGAAAAAGAATGAAGTGATGCAGTCTGTCATATGTTTGAAAGGGCATTCTTGGTGGAACGTTAACATGCTAGCATGGAACTTTATGCTATGTGTTAGGTTTACGCTCATCTTATATTTTCTTACGATGTATAATTGATTTACCAATCATCTTCATAAAGAAGGTTCCTGTAAGCATACTAGTCTCACGCGAGATAGACGTTCTTTTGTCTAGAGTAATAATACGTCCTGGCTTTTTGGTGGTCTATGTTGTATTTTTTTCCTTCATATCATATTTTTAGGTTATTTGTTTACCTCTTTTTTGTCAACAATGAAATTAGTTCTGAACTAACGACCCAAACTAAATTTCAATACATCAAAACTAATTATACGTTGGAAGGGAATCGATATACCTGCTGTGTCCACGTGCCTGGAGGAACGTCAAGTCTATTACATGACCCTTACTTGTTCTGCCCATACATTCTGAAGCTAATAGTACACCCCCCGTTAAAGCAATATACTTCGGTCCACCGTATTGTAGCTGATAGCCTGTCCAAGATAATGTGACCACCCTAACTGAAGCGGATACCCCATCCAATATACTTCTGACCACCCTTATTGAAGATGATAGTCCATCACAATCCCATTTAAGCTGGTAATTCAAGCAAACTGCGACCATCCATATTGACCATCCATATTTCATTTCACCATCCGACCATGTCGGACGTACACAACATCTTTCTCATGTTGTAATCTTCGTATTTCACAGGCAATAAACCGGTTCATATCGTAAGCGACGTTCCCTGTCTCATCAATTATCGTCCTTGGGACATCTCAAGACTAGAACCCGCGACACAACAAACCAACCAACAACCAACAAACGTGATTTTCTTCCACATTAAATTGGCAGCAGTGATATATCTGGATACATCTCCAAGGCAGCTATAAACCCATCCCACTCACTCACTCACCATATCTACGTCTATCAAAACGACTTCTACTACTTGTACTGCACTTATGTGAGATGTGCTACAGCTACTGCTTCGGCTACTTCTCATTTTGATCAAACGGTAAAATGTCAAATACAATTCTGTCATTCTAGATTTATCTTAACACCTATCGTAACAACTCTCCCGTTATATACTTTTTATGCAAATTCTTTAAGCGCCAGGTGGTGCGATGGACAGGATATGTTTACCCTTTCGCGAACAACCTGTGCCATTCTTGATTTTCACCGATCCATTCAAGTAACTTAAGCCGCTGTTATGCTTTTTTTCACACCCTGCGGAATCTGTTTCGTCGGATAATGGAGATTGGTTTCTATCTAGCGTTGATGTTATATATACACTGCTGTGTAAGCCGGGTCTATGTTGTTATTCCCATATCAAGACTTCTGGCAAAGGCTCATTAGGAGATAAACAGATTCCGTGATCTTTTCCTATACATGGTATTTGAACTGCCTCCACCACTCGCCCCCAACACCGGCAGATTATGGTTAGATTTCAATTTGAAGAGATTCCAAGCGTGAAATTATAAATGGAAAGAGTTGGAAAGAGTTTTGTCTGTGTAATGTACAGTATCGATCGAAAACCAAAGCAAAGTTGTCAGTTGTCATCTATAAATAGACTTTAGTTATAAATTAATTAATGAAAAAACAAAGTTGCATACACTGCAGAGAAATGCGATGTGTGGTCGTAATTAATTGGACATAAAGCTGGAACGGAAAAAAAGAGTTAATCAAATTTGGAAGATTGCACAACACGATTGTGATACAACTCTGTTGGTAGGATCGGAGATCTAGTAGAAAGATAACGTTTTTCAGTACCTGTCGTCGAAGTAATTGGGCCCCGAAGTTTGTTCAGTTAAGGCAATGCTATCTCCCGTAACCACAGATTTTGTGCAATTCACGTGACCCTTGCTACAAAGAAGTTTTAATTTGTGCTTTTTACAAACCACAACGTTCAAAGAAATATTTTTTCAGGCATTGTGTTTATATTTTCTAATTATTTTCTTGTCGCGAGAATCCTCGTTGATCACGTTTCTTTGTCTCTCTCGAATGAAACCTCCGAAAAAATCACAAATACATACATCAAAAAATATCGTTAAAAATATTCATTTCTGAGCAATGTCATTTCAAGGAATTGGGCCTTCGAGTCAACCAACGTTTTTTGTACAGGCGGAATTTCAGCATTCCGTGAATGTTCTAGGGCAAATTCTTATTTAAAAAACGATTACTAAAGAGTTGTGTATTCCCCGACAATCCTGTGCGTACCGACATATGTACGTTGTTGGTACTCCTGATGGCACTGAGACAAGGATTCTTAAATGTACAATTTCAATTTTATTTTCTTGTATCTCTTTCCATTACACGCTTCAATGGTATCAGAATCATTTGTACAAACCATTGTCGGTTAAATTATGTCGCTCCCAAGGGCAATCATCATACATTCACAACAATATTCACAACGAATCCATTCCACTGTGTTCTGATTATCTAGCGATAGGATCGACGCTGCTGCACACCATGACAGATGATTCTGTTCTATTCCTGGGACACACGTATCGTCCCTATACAAGGCTTTCACTAATTCAATAAACAAACCCTCCGTCCACTCGGCACTGCACGATATGGGAACCCTGTCCGCCCAGTCTGGTAATACATCAAGACAAGCACATATCGCATGTTGCTAGAAAGGCGACTGTTCACGAAGCCGGCCTGATAATAGACTGTGAATATAGCCATTTGGTCTTGTTTCAACTATTAGAATGTGTAGCAAGTCACGAGTTGCCACTAACCGATCGGCGTTAAGGTGTTCCGACATGAAATTCATGATAAAGAAAATGGAAAATTGACGTAATTGTTTCGGTTTATGCAAGTTCGAAAGAGACTGAAGTAAAATGGTCGGTACACGAATGTCCCCTCGTTAGTACTAATTTTTGTGTGAAATATAATACTTTTTGTCGTTCGATTTCAGTTACCAGAAACATAGTGTTATACAAAACCCATTTTACCAATGCTGCGTTCCTTAAGATTTAGTGTTCTTTAAAATCTCATTCGATTATGAGGATAATACTACTTCGATCAACATGCAAAGACTATAATCGAATGTCCTTGGGTGTCAAAGGTGTGGTATTCTGTATTATATCATCCCTAATATGCAAATATTGGTGCATTTGCATCATTTCGCGACATTTCTTTATTGCCGGGGGAGAATGGTAAGAGAAAATTTACCAATTTAAGTAATCATTTAAAACATAACTCTCCACATCGATGTAAATGATCTTTAATGCCGTTTTATCGAACAATAATTTCCTCAGATGAAACTCTTTCACATTTCGATTATTTTCGTATTTTTGTATGAATTTGAGAATAGTATGATATGATGAACTATTTCGGCGGAGAAGATTTAAATTGATCACTCCTGACCCAAGTCTGGTAATACAGTTGCGGCCATTACCATGACGACAAGAGTTCCTGGAACTGTTTGTACTGGGTGTAACCTTGTAACCGGGACATGAAAGGGTAACGTTTCTCATTGAAAGAAATTAACTCCTGTTTTTACCAAAGTAGTGAATGACTGTTACTTAATAAGAGCCCTAAACACCGCCTCCTTTCCCCTTGATTACTAAAACCAGTAACTGAATATTCACTACCAGCGCCATTGTAACTAATTTAAGGGCCTCTTCAACAAAAAGAACACCGTCAATTCCAATCGGCCAATCAACGTTAAACGAGGAGTTTCTTTTACTCGACGTTCATGAATCTAAGTTGAAAATCGTAAACTAGTTTTTGTTGTTTCCGCTAAGTGAACAGCTATTAGACTTGCCAAACTAAATCAATTGCAGTCTTCGCCTGTAGTCGTATGCTAACAACATTGATAGCTATCACTAGAGATCTACACGGATTATCGACAAAAGTCAAAAACACACAGCACAACGGAATTAGACGGAGGAGATTATAATTTCATGACAGGTCTTTTCTCCGCTTCGACGCCGGTCTTTGAAATAGTCGTCAAGAAAGCATGATGTAAAGTGTACATCAATTCGGGATACTGCACATCAGCCCGAGTGTTCCTTCGCTCGCGTGATGCGTCTTTGTTAAATGTCGGAGATATGCAACCTTGTGTAGTTTTCAGTCGTGTTGCGTGTACGATAATCATAAATATTCCCACATCAACGTGGTGTAGCCAATTGCTAAACGACAGTAGACTATTTGGAATGTTCCGTGTTGACAGAGACGAACCGACATGAATTATATTAGAAGTTTCGTGATGGTTAAC